GAGAGAGAGAGAGAGAGAGAGAGAGAGAGAGAGAGAGAGAGAGATGAGCGATACAAGATTGGCTGTTACGTACCTGTGGAGTTGCTGTGCAGTCCACGAAGGAGAAAGACAGCGGCCATGGCCGCAGAGCCTCTACCACGGAGTGACGAAGTAGGAGGGAGAAGGACAGAGGGGGAGAGACCGAGAAGAAGGAGCGGCCATAGCCAAGAGGTGAAGAGGAGGCCGATCAAAAAAAAAAAAAAAAAAAAGAGAAAGAGAAAGAAGAAGACAGCGGGGTGAAGGAGGCGAGGGAGGTGAAGAAGAAGAAGAGGGTTGGCGAGGAAGAAGAGCCGGCAGCCATAGCTGACCGGAGGGTTGACCAAGAGAGTTGACCGCAGGTGTTGACCGGCCGTTACCAGAGTTGACCGGGGTTGACCGGGGGTCGCAGCAGCGTTGACTGGCGTTGACCAAGGCGTTGACCAAGACTTGACCAAGCTGGAGTTGGTAACATCTCGCCAAGCCCTCAGCCTAACCCTTGCCCTGTGGATGTGCACACACCCCCTTGGTACTTGCTGAGTCTGAGTCAGTCTGTCTATTCTTTCTGCATTGAGTCTCTTCTGTCCTAGGTCATAGCACTCTGTGGATGAAGGATAGGGCTTGGATGGCGAAACCCTAGTCTGACCTTGTAGGGCTAAGACTGTGGCTGATCCAACTTTCCAGGGGGGCATAACCCTCCCAAGGACCGGTGCTGACCGGCCGGAAATGGTTGGTAGGACTCAGTGGGCCTGAACGGCAGTTAGGGCTGACACACCAGGTAGTCCTTAAGGGTTGAGGGCCTGTTTGAACCACTCCCCTACCGGACCAAGTAAGGCTGAGGATCTGTGTCTGACGACTCAACTGTCCCGGAGGTCAAACCCTCCCAAGGACCGGTACAGACCGGCGGGCTGCTCGGTGTGGCACAGTAGGCCGGAAAGGCTAAGTTGTGGGCTGAAAGCACAGGCAAGACCAAGCTGATCGCGTCGTCCTGTCTGCGACGTTAAATAATTCTTGAGGAGTTACGGGGAATCTCCTTAAATGCCTCCTGATCAGCCACTGGTCTAGTAGTGACAGCCATAGCATAGGTCTAGGCTAGAGACCATAGTTGACAGGATCCCTGTCAGGATTCTGTGAGTCTTAGATTGAGTCAGTAGGTCTGTCGGTCAGGGGTTAAAGTCTACGTGGTGAGGAGTGGAATCACTCTGATTGTGCACCTATCACCATGGTTGAGACCCGCCAAGGGACAATTACTACCCCTTATACCGCTGAGCAGCAAGCAAAGATGGCCGCCTTAGTGAAAGAGAACAGGGAGAGAAAAGAGCACGAGAAGCAAGCTAAGTTAAAGGCTATCGCGGATGAGCAGGCGGCGAAGATGAAAGAGATAGAGGAGGAGATGGAGAGAAAGAAGAAGGCCGCTGAAGAAGAAGCGGCGACGGAGGAAGAGAAAGAAAGGATGAGGATTGAAAGCAGAGAAGGGAGCAGTGGCACGAAGAAGGACACAGACGTTGAGATTGAGAAGAAGATCAGCGAGTGGGTTGCTAACTTATCGTTGGGGGAAGATGAAGAGGCGGAGTCATATGTGACTGAGGATGAGAAGGCCGCACTGGCTGCTGAGTTAGCAGCCATGACGGATCCTATGGAGCGAAGAGAGAGGGAAGACGAGCAAAAGTTGCAGTGGAAGCTGAGAATGAAGAGGGAGAAGAGGAGGAGGAGAGAAGAAGTGAATA